ACAGACCCACACATCATGGACTGGTACGGACCGCTGCAAACACCACTTCCACCTCAGCTGCCGCAGAGATCCCGATGGCAACAAACGCCCAAGAAGAAAAGATCAGATACCCAAGACCCGTCGCTACACTGAAAAGATTCCAACCCTGCGCACACACTACGACCTGCTACCAGCCAAGGCTATATGATCCACTGGCAGCTGCCATCTCCGGGACACCAGCTGCTAAAGGAAGCCCAACTCGAACAACCAAGGGACATGCTGAGATGACCATCTCTAACACGCTGCCAGAGACTTGTTAACGCTCCTCGGAGCCATCTCCACTTGGGGCTATCAGGACTCTCTTAAGAACCAGGTGACCGTATCCATATAATGCTAAACCCATGTTGCTAGGGGATGAACCCCCCTTGGGTATGATACAGAGCGAAAATGTCTTAAATGCCAATCCCTATAATGCCAGCCAGCTGTCGCAATTTCCGCGACCTCAGCAGGAATAACATTCAACAGGGTAATCTCGCTTATTTTCCCGTGACACTTACCATCCCCGGCAGCGGCATAGCAGGCAAATATACAGTCCTGATATACGGCTTCCACCTCTCCCTCTCACTATGCAGACCCAATGGCTAGGCTGGCGGCAGGTAAATGCTGCACATTACCGGGATCTTTCCTATTGGCCCACCAACAGAAGTTTAGACATATCATTAACGCATCACCCACAAAAAAAAAAAAAAAAAAAAAGTTTATCTAGAATAACGCTGTTTATACTGTTTCTATAGCCTCCTCATCTAAGATGTCTAACTAACTGATATGTTGTGGAATGTATTTACGGGTGTGTGCTCTGGCGACGACAGTTGATGACTCTTACTCCCGTTGCTCTCCTACGAGAGTCACTGGCTGACACCAGTCGCCCGAGACCACCTCCGTCCCCCATCTCTATTTGCATACTATCGTATGATTACTAGACGACTTGCATTGTACTAGGTCGACACGACCTATACCACGGTGTCACAAAAGTCCCAGGTGGCAACGTCCCACTCTGGGCCCGACACCAGAGGTCTCCCCTCAGACTGCTGGCTGACGCCCGGTGTTCAACCGGTGCCTCCTAGCAATCTCGGGGGACAGTTTCTACTCCGATCTATTTATAGATTTTTCGCTTGTATATAAGTTAATTGTTCTATATTTTTCTCCTCTTGTTGTTTCTCTTTTTCTTTTGCTTTCCTTCCCCTTTTGCTCCTCCCTCCAGGTGACCAAATCCCCCCCCTCCAAACATCCCCCCCTCACCCACAGACACTCTCATTGGCACACCTACGAACGTATCCAGACCTGATGGCTACCATACAATTAGTCACACTCAATGTTAAAGGCCTCAATACGCCCGAGAAAAGATCCATAGCTCTTACAGAGATGCACAAACTACGAGCTAACGTGGTCTTCCTACAGGAAACTCACTTTAAGAAGGACAGAGCGCCCACTCTCAAGAGCAGGACATACCCAACAGGATTCTTTAGTAACTATAGTCACGCCAAGGCCAGGGGGGTAGCCATACTCTTTGCAGCACACACTCCTTTCACCTACAAGGCTCACAAAACTGATGATGGGGGCAGGCTACTCTTGGTAAAGGGACAGATAGGCCAGACCGTCCTTACATTTGCTAACCTATACCTACCCAACCGACACCAAGGCAAAGCCCTCAAGAAGTATCTTAATATAATTGAATCCTTTATGGAAGGCATGTTGATCATGGGTCTTGACCTGAATATGTCCTTAGACTCTGCCCTTGATACGACCTCCCACTCCACACAATACCAAAATGCTGCAAGGAAACAGATAACACACCTCCTTGACCAAGCTAGACTATTTGACTGCTGGAGAACCACACACCCACAAGATAGAGACTACTCCTTCTACTCCTCAGCCTCACGCTCATACTCCAGGATAGACATGATGTTCCTTCCCCAAGATCACCTGCATCTGGCCATCTCCTGCTCCTACGGTCCAATCACCTGGTCAGACCATGCACCTCTATCCCTAGTCATACAGATCCCTATGCTCCCACTGACGTCCTTTCATTGGAAACTTAACGATTTCCTCCTCAATGACCCCACAATCACAACTAGTGTGACAACTGCACTTACCAACTACTTCCAAGAAAACACGCTACCAACCATCTCCCCCATGACCACTTGGGAAGCGCACAAATGCGTCATAAGGGGAGAATTCCTAGCAATAGCGGCCACTCTCAAGAAAAGGAGAACACAGAAAATAGACACACTCACACGAGAAATCAGAGTCCTTGAACATACTCATACCCGGGATAGTTCCCTATCAACCTATAACACCCTCATAACCAAACGCACAGAACTGACACAACTACTGCACCACCAGGCCAAGAAAAAGCTCCTCCATACCAGGCACTCCTACTATATACAGGGAGGTAAATGTGGCAAACTACTAGCCAATGCCCTACGACAGTCCAGGCAAAACACGTACATCTCCAAAATCAAAACACAAACGGGCACTATATCACATACCCTCCCGGACATCATGAAAGCCTTCCAACACTTTTATACCAAACTTTACAACCTCAGGGAGTCACCTCCGGATATAAACGACATAACAAGATACCTATCAACCAGGCTAAAAAATAAAATCCCTGACGCCGTGGCACAGTCCATAGACATGCCCATTACCACTGAAGAATTAAATTGCGCGATAAAATCAATACCACTAGGCAAAAGAAATCCCAACGAAAACTGACCCACCCTATGTTCTCATTGGCACCACTGTGGCTATCTCATAAGTCCAGAGAATGAGTTTACAAGATATAATACAGTACTTGTTGTAAAAAACAGAATTTTTGCAGTTATTAAAGTTAGTCAGGTCTTGCACTGTGAATATGTCAAACATAAAAGACTGGGTATAACCAATTTTAATACCCTTAGTTGTCTACATTTGTGACCAGTATGCAATGATGGAGGTAATTTGTTTTCCTGGGCTGCAATATGGTCTCAAAGGCAATATATGCCCAGCAAACCAATCTGGCAAACTGAATTGGGCAAGCCCTATATTTGACACTGTAGCTTACCAAAACCCCATACAACCTGTACATGGGGGGGTATTGTTATACTTGTGAGACATCGCTGAACACAAATTAGTGTAGTTTTTGTGTTAAAAATATAAAAAACAGGGAGGCGGAGACTGACCGGGAACCAAGATAGCTGCATAAGGCACTAGGTCCAAAAAAAAGCCAATCAAAGCCCAACGAACGGAGCACAGACCCCACCCCCACACAAAACCACAGTGACCCAGGCATGGTGGAGCAACGAGCAGACAACCTACTGGACAGTTACCACACATAAAGCTTCCCTGACAGCAATGAAATCCTGCATTGACATGCTAGAAAATGGCATGGAGACCTCAACAATCGGTCCAGAAGAGGCCTGCCAGAGACGTCACCAGAGACATGCTCCTCTCTACGCTGCAAGAAGTGTTTCTTACCCTCCTCCGTAACATGACACCTCAGGAACTGGTGATAGACAGGGCCCATAGAGCCTTGAAACCTCCCAGCCCCAACCAAATGGCACCAAGAGACGTGATCGTGCGCCTGCACTACTGCTGCATCATGGCAGCAACGCAGAAAATTTGACACTGCGATACTAATATTCTTCCAAGACTTGTCGCCTCTTACCCTGGACAAGTGCCTTAAGCCAGTCACCACTGCTCTGTCCCAAGCCGGACTGGCGTACAAATCTCTACAACCCATTTAAACTCCTAGTCTGCAAGGCCAACACTACCAAGATGGCAAGCTTCGCTGCACCACTGGGCCTGCAACTGCCTGAAACTCCCACAACAGCGCCAAGCATCACAGCAGGACCCAGACCAGCACTACCACCCATGCGGAAGAATCCTTTACCTCCTTGGAACCACTGCAAGAAGAGACAGCTGCAAGCAACATCAGGAGCCAGAGCAAAATTTCAGTTAACACGTGGACAGTGCTTCTCCACAATCCAGGCACTTCAACGTGCTTTCAGGGACAAATCACTCTGGCCCACTACTCCGCAGGACTACCACTTACCGCAAGTTACTATTGAGATGAACTCTCACGCTTATCCTTTTCCCAAGTTATTGCATTTTTAAAACCTGTTTAATGCTATACGATCACCATGGGGTTGCAATTATGGTATTGCTAATCTTTGGGGGGCACTCCCCGATGGGAAGAACAGGGAGCACACACCTTGCTGGATACCAATGGGCAGTCCCCTGAGCTTAACTACATAGTCACCGGGACTGAGGGGGGCACATATATCACAAAGAAGGGGGGGGACACAGCCTGGAGGGGAAAATGCAAGACCTTGATGAAACCCACCAAATGAACAAGGTTACCTTTCCACCAGACAAGCATTTTATATTTTAATTTTTATTATCACAACCGCCCCCTCCCCCCCCAAAGAAAAACAAGAGGGAGGGGCACCTATACTAAGTCATGTAACAGATAATGGTATTGCATGTGCATGTATCTATGAATGTAAAGGTATATCAAAGACCCTCAAGGACGATACCCAATGACAGCAGGGACTATTTGCCCCACCTAATTTGCCTTCACACCCCCTTATGCTCTGGCTTACACTACGGGCACACCTCAGCCTATACCCAACACACCACAGAATCATAGGCGTAGACTTTATATATTCTTTATTTTTGAAGTGCAGCGAAACATTCATAGCGTGACAGTGACATTTGGTTAAGATGCATTATGATTGAGTACAGGCTTAGAGTTGAAACACAAATTGTCAAGAGGAACTGCACACAATTTTTTAAGCGTAAAACAAGTTTTAGTTGCAGCACAAGCTTTTACATACATGACTATCTTTCCACATCGTATGGGCAAACGGTCAGTATTACTTAGGTGGGGACAAAAACGTGGCATGGTAAGGGAGTGCACTATTACATGCTAATATGGTGAGCTAGTTGAACTGTAGTTAATTACAAGCTGTATATACCACCGGGGGACCAGGCATTGCTGGAAAGGCAATTGGGGCACCCTGCCATTATATAACAGAGTAAAACAACATAGAATGGTGTAATTTAATATAAGCTTAGTAGAGGCTTGACCTGAAGATCACTGGGGCTGAGCAGACCTCAGATATACCATTCAGCTGTGTGGGACCGATCAGAGCGAGACAGTCAGGGTATACAGAATGGCCACAGCTTGAGTCCGGGGACATTAAGTCCTGTGTTAACCTTTTGGTTGCTGCCTCCTGCGGAGCCTGTGATTATGGTGTTCTGTGCTTGTCTCCATTTTTGCACAGCATCGTCCAGCGTCCACAGTCTGTGAAGGGGTGGCACACTGTCCTGCTAGAGCACAGATTGTTTGGGGCCAGCAAGCTGTAACAGGCCTCTTGGCTACTCTTCTGGGCGTCACTCTGGTTTAGGCTTGATTTTCAGCCAGGTTCAGTATGTCCATTTGGTAGTGCCCTAGTGCGGCATGGTTTCCCATGCTGTCTCTCGGGTTTTACCGCGGCGGGTTGTTTTTGTCTGCAGGCATGCAAGGTTTGTGGTGTAGTGCAGATTGCAGTGCCGCCATTTTAGAGGCCCGGCTCATGGTGCGCGCCTCCAGGTAGGTTCGGTGCTGGGCTTTGTAGGGCGATGATTCCCTCCGGTGGGGACCGGGATGACCCCCCCGGTCCATGGGGGGGGAGGCGAGGCCTGTGAGGTGCATCACAAGGCTGTTGCGTGGCGGCCAGGTTCGCAAACAGGACAGCGGCCGTCCGTCCCGTTCTCCACCCTCATAGGCCGCAGACCCCGAAGTCCCGTATCGCCCGCAGAGGGCTCTGGCACTCCCGATCTCAGGGTCTGCGGTGGCACCAGCTTCTGCCCGGCTGCTTGATATAGCTTTCAGGTCACTTAGTTTGCTGTGTTGCTTAAGTTTTTAGCCATATTGGACCTGATTGATCAGGAGCCTCTCCGGCCTGCGACCGGTCAGCATGGCGGTCAGGCCCCGCCCCCCCATAGGCGTAGACTTTAACGCCACGCTGTCCCCCTCAGGAGATAGGCAGGGACATCACCTCCAGCCCCAGCTGCCACCCCAACCATCCAGAGCAGATAAACTAGCGGCAGACTTCCTTTCTCAGACGGAACTACACCACCCAACAACACGGGACTACACATTTTACTTGCACCCGCACCATACTCTTGGATAGATTACTTTCTCATTTCCCCTTCCCTCCTCCCCCACACCACAACAACCACAATAGGCAACATCACGTGGTCAGACCACGCTGACCTCTCCTTAACGTTCCAGCTGCCACAAATATCACAACCTTGGTCTTGGAGACTAAACCCCACGACCCACAAATAATACAACGCCTTAAAACAGAACTTACAAACTATTTCACAACTAACCAAACTGGGGGCATCCCAGAAGGTGGTGATTAGAGGATCCCTAATAAGCATAGCCACCATGCAAAAAAAAGCAACTCGAAAAAATAGAAACACTGCTAGCAACAATTCAACAACTAGAATCCCAACACAAACAGACCCTCACACAGGACCTACCTATACAGCTCCAAACTGTCACGGGTGGCAGACCGGTGCCCGGGACCCATGTATGCCTGATGTTCAGAGTAGGAGTCACAGTGTGGAGGTGGATTAGCAGGGTCTGCTTCTGGGTAACCGCACACCCCCTGGTGTTGAGCACCAGCGTTTGTGCAGCCACATACCAGAACCCTGATTAGCTCATGTGGATCCCATGAACTAGGAGCAGGTAATTAAGCAGACCTCCCAGGAGCTGAATAGGGAGGCCTGGCAGCAGGGAAGTATCCAGTACTGAAGCAAGGCAAGACTAGAGATAGGCACCATACAAGAAAACAAGACAAAACTAGGAGAACCCAGAACAGGACAGAAAGCAGAACCCAGAACATATACACAAGACATGAGGAAAACAAGAACATAACATTGGCATGACTGGACAGGGCTGTACATGGACTGGGTATGCAAGACTAAATAAAACAAGACAAGAAATACAAGGTAAAACAAGAGGAGACATAACTAAGCACTATATATGAAAAGTATGGGGATTTAGTCACATTATATGATCATACATTGCATAAGCCTGCCAACAACACCAATGTACCCCATATCTGGCAGGTCCTACACTGCCTAATGCATGCTAAAACAACCATACTAAAACCACAATATAGCACTTACCTGCAAGAAAGGGCAGAGACTTGAAACACTGCTGCAGGTCCAGACTGAAACAAAAGGAAAGTGGAAAACAAACGGGTGTGGCAACATAAAACAAACATTTAAAGGAAACCTGGAGACTGGGAATCCCAGAGATGGATTACAGGAATGAACCCAGAAATCCCAGCAATAAAGAAAACCAGACGTAGACCAGAAAACCAGAAAAACCAAGCAAGGACAGCAAAAAGAGTACTGGATACCAGAAGCCAAAGCCAGACATCTCCGCAGGACATGACATGATGTGACACAAACCCAATGATAAGCTCTTAAACGGGCTATGGCTATGGACACAATGAAAGCCTTATAATGGACAAAACAAATGTTCTACGAGAAATACAATAAAACGGACACACTTTTAGCCTGTAGACTGCACAAGCGCACCCGATCCAAACAAATTATCAGCATCCATCCACGCACAGGACCATCCCTACAAAAATCCCAGAAGTTTTCCAAAGGTACTTTGCCGACCTCTACGATCACCCCCCCCAACACCAACAACTGGACACTGACCTGCAAAACTGAATACACTCCTTTCTAGATAAGATACACTTACCCTCACTCTCAGACGAGGCATCAGCACACCTATCCACCAAAATCACTGATGACAAAGTGACAGGAGCAATAGGTACCACAAAACCAAACAAAAGCCCAGATCCAGATGGATGCTCTGGCATCTATTACAAAACATTTCAAGATATTCTTACGCTTCTACAACACCCTTCTAAAGAGTGACCCGGTACCTGACGAAATGCTAGCAGCAATCATCTGCCTCAAAGTGGCAGCATATGCCAACGATCTCCTACTGACAATTACCAACCTGCTAAACTCCCTACCACCACTACTACATCTCCTGAACAAATACTCTGGAGTTTCGGGGGTATAAATTAAGATAAGACAGAAGCCTTACCGTTCAACATTACACTGGAAGACAAAACTGCACTGGGCAACACATACGCCTTCCGCTTTAAAACTTCCCACATATCATACTTGGGCATCAACCTACCAGCAGAACTACACCAAACATACACACCTAACTATACCCTGATGCTGAGACGAGCCATAGACAACCTCACCAGATGGCAGGAGTTGTCTCTGTCATGGCTGGGATGCTTAGCATTGGTCAAGATGAACCTACTGCCCTGCTTCCTCTACCTATTCCAAACCCTCCCCATTCCAATCCCAACACCGGACTTCAATACCTCCAAAAACAAATTGATAAATTTATATGGGCCTAGAGTGAAGCGAACGACAATGTACATTCACAACAGATCAGGGGGACTAGGCATGCCTCAATTACAATACTAGTATCATGCTGCGCAACTCACCCAAATTCAAAATCAGGACCCTCCTACAGGAACCAAAAGATGGGTAGATCTAGAACACAATCTTTTCGGCTTCGACTTCCCATCTCTTTACATCTGGGTACAAAGGAAATCATGCCCCATGCCACCCCCATACCATCATCACTCATCAACTCTATAGACGCATGGAACAAAATCACCAAGAAATTCCCCATCATCAATAATCTTACACCTGACCCCTATTCTGCACAATAGGGCATTCCCGCCAGGCATGACACCCGATGATTTTGCTCACTATGAACAAAACGACCTTTATAGGCTGAACAACTTCTTTGCGAGAGGCAGCATAATCCCTTATAACGACTTACCACGACATGCCACAGCATACAACACCCATGACTTCTTCAGATACCTCCAACAAAAAACTTCCTAGAACACCCAGAAAACAGGACAGCAACTTCCACCAAACTCTCAAACTATGAAAAAGCTTGCACCCAGAGCCCGGTCCGCAAGGGTCAGATAACAGACCCCTACACACTCCTAATCACTAAGCATCACTAATCAGGGGCACTGGCCTATGTGTCGGCCCAGGGAGAGGGACCTGGAACCTCCAGATGAAGTGTCTGACTGGCAGGATATCTGGGAAGGTACGGCTTCTATCTTTATATGCGTGAATCATAAGGAGCAGGCCTGCAAGACCATGCTCCGATGGTACTTAACACCTATACGAATACCTCTGTTGCAGGGCAGCCAATCAACAAGCGTTTGACTCATGTGCCCTTAGAAGCCATCACAGCCATGCCTACTAATGGCATGGCTGTGATTGGCCAGTGCAGCATGTGACCGAGCCTCTATATATAAGCTTGAGTCACGTAGCACTGCACGTCACATGAGCTGTTATTAGTGTAGGGAGAGGATGCTGCAGCTGTGAGGGACAGATTAGGAAAGAATTCTGGTGTTGAATCTGCAAACTACAGCGATTATTTTTGTGGATGCTATACTGCCCTGAGCCCAGTGCCACAGAGAGTGCAGTGCACTTGCAACTGCATGTGTGCCAGGCACATCACTTTAATCCCGTTCTGGTAGCTCAGTGGGCAACATCTAGGCATTTTTAAATACTGCAATTTTTTTGGTGCTAAATAGTACATTTGCGTACTGCATTTCTTGCAGTCTAATAAAACCCTTAAATACTACTGTTACATTGTTGGTTTAAAACAAATCACACTTTTTTGTGCCTGCGGTGCACTTCATATCTGAGAGTCAAATAGAACCGTCAAATACTGTGGTTACATCGCAGTTTTAAAAATTCTAATTTTTTTGGTGCTAAATGGTACATTTGGGGTGTGCACTTCATATCTGAGAGTCAAATAGAACCGTCAAATACTGTGGTTACATCGCAATTTTAAAAATTCAAATTGTTTCGGTGCTAAATAGTACATTTGTGGCCTGCGGTTCACTTCATATCTAAGAGTCAAATAGAACCATCAAATACTGTGGTTACAGTGCAGATTTAAAAATTCTATTTTTTTTGGTGCAAAATAGTACATTTGGGGTGTGCACTTTATATCTGAGAGTCAAATAGAACCGTCAAATACTGTGGTTACATGGCAGTTTTAAAAATTCACATTTCTTTGGTGCTAAATAGTACATTTGGGGTGTGCACTTCATATCTGGTGTATGTGTGCAATACTGGCTAGTTACCGCTTCTCAAGAAGGTCTAAAGACAAATAAATGTTGCCTATGGTGCAGGTAGTTTAAAAGGCAAGACTGAGACAAATCATTCGGGTTACGTTTGCCTGTTAACATGTTAATTATCTTAGACCATTAAAATTCAATAATCAATGAAAAAACACACTGTC